CAATAACGCCATCAAAGCTTTTGACTGCTGCATCATCATCATCTGAGAGTTGAGTAACTGCTGTTGGCTTTGTTGCTGTTGCTGCTGCATGACTTTCAGCATGTCTTTTTGTTGCTGTTGCATTTGCATTTGCTGTACCCTCAAGACCTCCATTTTCTATCTCTCGAGTGTTTGATGCTCCATCCTCATCTTTAGGTCTTCTGCTTTCAGTTGGTCACTTACTTTAGCTCTTTCAGCTAGGTATTCGATAGCATCCCCTCCACTTCTTCGTTGACGCTTCAGTTTATCATTGCTTTCATCAGCTGATGAGTCTCTTTTCTTCGTATCTGACAGCTTATCCATCGCTTTTAGTCTAACATCTTCCACCTTAGCCCGGTCGTATTGAAGTTTTTTACTACCTGTTCCCTGTGTTTCGTGTAATTCCGCTTCGCCACTTTCTTCCAACGCGATGATCGTATCCAATAGGTTTTCTAATTCCGTTGGCTCATCGGGAGTTCTACCAGTTGCTTTTTCCTCGGCTTGAAGTTTCTTCTTATGCTTGCAAACAAGAATCCCCACGTGGTCTCTAACTGATCGCTTATCAACTCTGAATTTCGGCACAGAGCAGTTGTTCAAGGTGTCTGCTATTTTTTCCCACATGCCGCTTCTTTATGTGGACCCTTTCTTAATTGTGTAGGGATTTACATTGACGACTTCTCTGCATAGGATGGTTTCATGGTCATATGTCCAAAACATTACTGAACTAAAGGAAGGTATGAAAACATACAAATTTTCATAAAATTAAATTAAATTGAATCGGATTCAAGTTTAAATGTGCTAGTTTAGCGGCCGATGAACGCAATAAATCGAGAAATGCAACAGTACAAGAGACGAGGAAAGTATGCAGAAGACTCCTGCGTTCACTAGTTGCAGTTATAGCTCGTGACTAACTTGGAAGCCTTGCTCGAAGGTGCTGCCATTTGATAAGCTTCATACACCTAAAAGAAATTAAAAAAAAAAAAAAAAATCAAAATTCTTCCATCTCTGCGATCTAAAATGTCGCCAGAAATTACGTGCAATGATCCTGGATTGCTAATTTTTTATGTTTAGAGGAATAGATCATCATTTAATTTAAGCACTGGAAGAAATACTCACGTTTCGTACATAACGTCAAAATTGCCAAAACCACGTTCTCGACGTGACGTGTTGCCGTCAGGACGACGGTGTGAGCATGCACAATATGTCACCTCTTTGAAAATTTACTTCCGGTCGCGTCTTAAAGCCGTCGCGTGTCGGATGAGTTTGGGTTTTGGTCGAGGGTCGAGAGTAGAGGGTAAAATGTCGAGGGTCGAGGGTAAAATGTCGAGGGTCCGAGAAAAATGTCGAGGGTCCATAAAAAACTAAAAATCGTAAATTTGAAAAAAATTAAATGTCGTGAAATGTCAGAGGAAACTCAGAAATTACATATGGATAAATTCCAGACATGTTGTGACTTATTGTTTTTGTATACTTTCACGCTTCATTTACACAGCTTCCACAAATGCACCCGCAACCGCAAATAAATAGATGCCGGCTGATCGAGGTCAAG